AACCCAAAAAAGTTCAGAAGTAAAGGTTCTTCCCGTATGTCCAGGCGAAAATCCTGTTTTCGATTTAGTAACTTGCTGAATCTTTTTTAAGAGTGTGTGGACATAGATAAACCATATATAGATATAAAATAGATATTATCAGCGAACGGATGTTATTGTAAAGTACTTCCTACAATGATATTTCTATTCTCAACATTATACGAAATAGTATACAATTAAGATACCCCATGTGTTAATAATAAGGTTGCATACTGTCGAACTGATCCAATTCAGTAGGTATTCATTGTGTTTACAAAAAGAAAGAATATCGTCACTCTTAAACTAATGAAACAATTATTCGAAGATAATCTCGCTGATTATGTCAATCAAACAAGAAGAATTATTTTAGTCACATTCATTCTACTAAAGATGAGCAATTCGTCACGAAAATATTCATAACTGAATATATCATAATTTTCTCAAAACCAAGATACTTCTTATAGTGCACAGTTCAGATAAAAGTTTAATAAAATCATTCAATTCAGTTTGTTGATGATTTTGTTAATTGGTATGTTCCTTTTAAGCAATATTTTATGTCAATGGTATGAATGTTGATTTTATGATATGAAGATAATCTCGCCATCATCGCTTACATACACACACACATATTTTCGATGCCTTTCAAATGTTATCAGCCTGCTACCTCTCATTGAATTGTATCGCATCAGGTTTTATTCATTAAGTTAAGGTAATAAAAATATTGTTAGGATGGAACTAAACATTTTCTATTAAGAAATCAATTTAAAGATCATTAATCAGTTGTTTTTTACTGGTTGGTAAATTTTGGAGCTTGAGGTGTATGTGTCCAGTATCTTGACTGTCGTTGGTTTCGTTTAGCATAATTTCTAGCGCGTGAAAATATACGAATGTCTGCCGTAATCAGAGATATTTTTTCTTCTTACTTTGCTTCTTTCTTTCGATATTGATGTTGTCCTTGTTGATTTTGTTTACTAATATTGTCAGAGGCTGAGTAAGTTTTACTTTGTTTGGTTTCAATTCCCAACCATAGAGCATTCTTATCAAAGAGGTATTCCTAGAAATAGCAGAGATGCAGAATCCACCCGTGTGCGCGTACGGCCGTGTGGGGAAAATTTTCGATTCCTAGGAGAATTTTGGGGAAATAGCTGGCGGAAGACACCATCGTGCGGGGAAATTTTTTAAAATCACGGCAGATTCTGCACCTCTGCATGCTTGACTCTGTTACCGAATGAGAAATCTTCAAACCGTTGAATTTCACCCAAAAGCGAAGAAAGATGAGCAGTTTACGTGCTTCCAGGCATCAGTGTATTTGCCTGAACAACATGAAGAATGCGTTTGAAATAGCTTCTGAGAAGTCGATTAAAAAAGTGCGAAAGTTATCAGTATGTAGCTAAATGAACTATTCAAACAAAAAAAGAGATTCTATTACCGTCAAGAATAGGGTGTGGGTATGCTTAATGTGACAAAGTACCCATGTTTCTAAAACTTATATTAACCAAATCAAGGACAAATTAGTTGACTATTTCCAATCGTAGATTGAAATATATCGAATGCATCAACAATTGCGACCTGGAGCAAGAGCACATGATGGTTTTTGATAATCAATCTGCATGTCAAAGAAATCAATATATTGGTTAACCAGCATTGATCTCTTTTCAAACTCTAGAGCGTTGATCACTACTGACAATGAAAGTTTTTGTAGTGTTACTTAATAAGATTAGACATATTCGGATTAGATTAAATGTCTCATCGCCAAACTAAAAATTTCGAAATGTAAGCTGCTGATATCATGCACGAACCGATACATTCGAATGCTAAAATATTGACAATGTGTGTAAAGTATTCATAGGTCATAATTTCCGCAGAATTTTGTTGTCCCTGTTTTCATGACGATTGGATAGAACTCGTCGAGTTGCATAAGAAAGAAAATGCATTGTTTAAGTTTGAAGAAGTCAATTTTACGAATTGTTCAAGATATCTTCATTTTCAAATATATGAGAAAATGAACCCAAAGTTTTGATTTTCGTAAAATTGACTATTTCGAAGCTTGAAATACAGTTTTTTTTTCGTACGTAATTCAACAAGCTTTATCTCATCATCACAAAAAAGAATCAAAATGAATTCTCTTGAAATTGCGACTTGGGCGTACCTTACAAATATTCTAAGTTCGTTGAAATTCAAATATTTCGATTCGTGCATGCTGAACAATGCTCATATTTTGAAATTTTTAGTGTGGCAATGAGAAATTTAAACGGATCTGAATACATCTAATCTTATTAACTGACATTGTAAACATATCTTTTGTGAATATTTTAGTATTGATTTAATTTGAGTCAAATTATATAGTTGTATGCACAATCATGCCGCTTTGAGCTCAGTATTGCTTGAGGCTTACAATGATCAAAAGAGCTAGAAATACTGAATCTTATCGAGTTCACTCTCAGTCGTTCTGGATAAAATATCACAAAAGTAATATGAAAGATATTTCTAGAGCGTCCCATCCTAAATCACTTTGATTTGCTCTGAGTTAAAAAAACTGAACAATTTAAGTACTCGGAAAACGAAGTTAAACGAATCTTCACTATTTATTTTCTACTCGCTGAATCCATGAGTCATTTATCACAATGTTGTCGAACGTCATTCTTTCGGATATTTAATTTATTCGACTCGTGGCTCGAGGAGACGTAGAATGGCTCANTCCGTGCGTTAAATGGAACGACAATCGTTTGATCAATAAAGCTCATATACGTAATTATCCAAAGGTAATGCATTATTAAAAGCATATCATATCGAGTATCGATTCGAAAAATGAATGCTAAACCGTACCAATCATTATGTTTTTTGTTATTAGAGTTACTGCCTGACCGCGACGGCTTATCAATCCAATGCATGAGCATCATCGCATACAACACATGGTCCATCAACTTCGTACGAATCACGAATTTCGACTTACACGAGGCTGAATTTGCGTCCGAGATGAAAGCCAATGTGGAACAATGTAATACATTACTGTTGTTATATCTCTTTCGTTGTACTTGCTACCAAATGATGGTATGCAATCGATTTCGACACAATCGATTGTAACAGTATTACAATATCCTGTAGTGATAGTAAACACGAGTTTTATCCTTCTATCGCTAGCATGGATGACAAATAAACGTTTCACTATCTGCTATCTATGTCTATTTGTTGCTTAGGCACAGTAACTTTCTGTCTTAAACAAGATAATGCTTACCTCTTTCCGACGTGTTTTTAGAGTTTTTAATACGAAACTCTTCATGTCAATATCCGAAGTGCATCAATCATTAGTGATTGATAGCCAAAGTTGTCGACTGTACTAGAAAGAAGAATTATTTCAGAACCAGAACAACTACTCTCAGAACGATGTAGACGCTGAGTAGTGAAGAGAACAATCGACTAACAACTAAACATCAAACCCACTCATAAGTCCGACAATGATATAAAGGAGAAAGAAAAGACAATAGAATAGAAGGCAAATATCTCAAAAGATTTCGATGTGACATTAAACATAGTGTGTGCGTTTGATGAGTGTAAGTACGATTAAATCCAATGCAAGTATGATAGTTACAGTCGGACTTGCTGACCGTTTATGCAAAACAGCGCAGACTCTACTAGTTCATTTGTGGCCATATCGATATGTTTGTCACCGTCTGTGCGTTTCATTTTCTTCGCTATTTACGTGTTTATGTTCTCTGACTAAAATGGGTGAATGCATATTTTTGATTTGTCTATGGTCTACATATATGAATCACAACTTGCAAATTAATACTCTACTTAATTCAAAATCAAAACATATTTGGATAAGAGAATCCATACAAGATAATGTCACAAGAAAACATCAATTAAAATTATGATTCTTATTCTTCCTAAATCAATACACTATTGAAAAACATGGTGTCATCTCTGCTAGCAGCATCAAAAAGTGTTTCACAATTTCTTTGATAAAGTCTTCGTAGCTCACCACTATGAAAAGAACATTCACCACATAGATGATTCAATATTTAATAATTTGGAGGATTTCGATTCTTCGAAATTGAAAAACTGAATTGAATGCAAATTCTAAGTAAGCTACCTGAAGAGACTTGTATCAAGGTCGAAATGTGCCATGTTAGCTAACTTCGTATCTCACACCTTTGAATATCTGTTAAGATATTTAATCAAGAATATTGGAATTTTTTACCTGACAATTTCGTTTGATTAAATATTATTCAAAACTACTTTTGTCGTCTGATGAGATCCACTAAGGCAGAGCGAAATTCGTATCGTGGTAATTTCTTTTGCAACACACGCTCACTATCAGTCACACATCTACACACTCAATAGAAAAAACTGAAATACAAGCCATCTGATGAAGTCCTTCAGCAAGGCAGAAATACCGATCATGACTGCTCTAACTCACCCGAATTCTCACACTCCGATGAGAATTCTTTGCTTTCGAGCTTTTACATAGTTGTTGACGAGTGATTCGTTAATTCTTTATAGTAAGCCAGTGAAAAGTACATGATTAAGGTGACCAATAACTCTGAATCGATAAGTTATTGATTGAAAGATATTCCTATCATTAAATTACCCGATGAAGTCCTTATCTGAGTAGAAACACGGCTTAATGGTTAATGATAATACAAAAGCATTGGTATTAGTATTATTTAATGCCGATACTAATGTTAAAACGATACTTCTAGTTTCGACGACTTTAAAAAGAATGAAAAAATCATCATTTCAAGGATGGAATCAACAGTAAAATTCATCGATTTCATTCGATTGTTTTCTTTTTCTTAAATATTGACAATCATCAAGTAAATTCACAGAAATAAATCTTATCTAGATTGTTTATTAAATCTCATCAACAGTCAGAATTAACATAAATAACACTATTAATTGTGAATGACTTACGTCTTTCGTTCTATAACAACTAGAGAAAATGTCATGATACAGTTTTTTATTTATGGATACAGAGAGCTTTATTCTATATCGAGTTCTAATTCCATAGCGATTACGCCACTATCTTTTCTCTCGCTTTTAAACGAACTAGGTGGATGAAATGGATGCAATCGATCAATTAAATAACGACCAGATGACAGTTTCACGAGTGACATCGCCATAAAATTAAGATTAGCAGTTTGTCGATGGGCGAAAATACTGGCATCGCTTATACGTGCAGTGAACCCTTTTTCAACCATATGGACGTTTTCTATTGTCTTACATGTTCTGCGAAAAATACCGTATTGGTTTGGAAAATACTTGTAGAGATTGCTGCCAATGATATCACTTTCATTTACATTCGATAATGATTCAGGGTTGAGTTGCCAACGTAAATCGTTGGTCGTTTCGATCAAGTTATTGGAAACATTTTCGACAATATTCAGAATTTTGTTGTTAAGTAACAAACTCCTACTGTGTGCTGCCGATATTCTCGACATGAAGATTTCATTTCCCAAGATTTTCTACATGTCAAACAGGTGTGCTTGACAGAATCAAAAGCACCTGCAATGTGCCAGTTTTTGTAAATTGAAACAAAATGAAACAAATCATTGTCATGTTTCTTAGCGCCATCGGAAATGCGGTTTTGAACGGTTCGTTTCGCCGCGTCAGTGAGACCACCCACCAAAAATAGGGAATCAGGTGCTGCTAAAATGGCTACAATTGTAACTGCCAAGTTGAGAATCTCAGCATATTCAAGATGGGTATCAAGCAAGAATGCACTATAACGAGGATCAAGTCCAAGTTTGGCAAAAAGCTTTCCTCGTTTGGTGATTATATGTTCATCATCAATACAAGAAAGATCTTTCAAAAGCTCTAATGATGCTTCGATAACTGTTTGTTCAGGTTGATCGATCAACGGAAATTGCTGCGGATTCAATTCCAAATAAACAAGTTGAAGGACGACACGATGAAGTGAGGTTCGAAGAATTTCGGGTTCAATATCAGGACGAGTCAAATCATTTTCATAATAGAGACGAACACAATGCCCTTGTGCTGTTCGACCGACTCTTCCTTTGCACTGATCAGCAGATGAACGAGAGATTTGCATAGTTTCAATCACTGTCAGACGATTTTCATGGTCAAAACGAGATTGTTTGACCAGTCCAGAATCAATGACGAGGCAAGTATTTTTTATCGTCAAAGATATTTCAGCAATATTCGTACAGAAAACGACCATTCGCCGAACATCATCGGAATCTTCATCAAATTGAAGTACTCGATCTTGCTCTTCTAGCGAAAGAGCACTATACAACGGCAATGCAACGCAATTATCGGGTATTCTTTGATTAAAAAGCTGTATAGAATCATCGATCTCACGTTGTCCAGGAAGAAATACCAATGTGTGTCCTTTATGGTTATTATACAATCTCTGTGTTGTAGAAACGGCATGTTGCAGGAGTGATCCATCCGTGCATGGAATATATTCAACAGACACATCATCAATACGACCTGGAACTCTCAATGGATGGGCATTTGTTTGTTGAAAAAACTCGAGAAACTTTGCCGGATCATTAGTAGCTGAAGCAATGACAACATAGAAATCTGTTGGTCGTGTAATTAGTAACTGGAGGGTGTGTGTGGGCGGGTGTGGGTGAGTGTGGGTGTGGATGTGGGTGTGGGTGTGGGTGTGGGTGTGAGTACGTGTGTGGGTGTTGCGAGTTTGGGTGTTGGTCTTTGTGACTAGACCCACACATCCACCCACACACCTACCCACACTGTAAAAAGGATTCGTAGAATAATAAACGCTAGTACTTGAGGAAATTGTTTCTAAACCCTTGAAGGGTTTTGGTATGAAAGGGTTTCTGAGAAAAAGGGTCTCTGAAAGTAAAAAAGGGGTTTATGGGGAGCGGAAGAAAGGTTTATTGTTATATCGTTTCATAAAAGAGTTTATTGTTCTACCTTTTTATGAAAAGGGTTTATAATTCTACGAATCCTTTTTACAGTGTGGGTAGGTGTGTGGGTGGATGTGTGGGTCCAGTCATAAAGACCAACACCCAAACTCGCAACGCCCACACACGTNAACTTTTGACCGCTGGAGAAAAAAAGTTATTAATCGTTTGTTCACAGTCAACGAGTGATCAATTCGATAATTATTGAGCCATGTAGACCTGATACTAGACTATGGATATTCACCACCAGATCGATCTTATCTTCGTTTGTGAAAGAGAAAACTTAAAAGTAATAAGTGTCTTAAACTTTTGTCCCCCACTTTAATAATTCGCTTCGGAAAAGCGAAAGTTGAGCCTAGCAGATTGATTTGTATTTTCAAGAAATATAAGTTGATCTATTTCAAGTTTATGTAATATGATAATTTGCACCTATCTTTCTTTGTAATTGTAATTGTTGAAAGTTTCATACGTTTATAAAACGAATTACTAGAAATATTCAGGTCTTACTTATCATACTTCTACTTATGCAGCATTTGATTCAAAATTTGCCTGCGGAGTCCCTTAAGCAGGGAGAGAATCGGTCGCATTTAGCCTTGAATCAACTTTGGAATTTTAACGAACACACCCGCGCCCTTCTCTAATGACTGCTAAAATGTCTTTTTACTTGATATGAAAGGATAAAAATTTTTTAATTTAGAAATATTGAGTTTCTTATTCTTTAAAATTGAATGTGTAAAAAACTTTTATTTAAAAAACATGTCAAATATCTTTAAAGATCACTTGTGTAAATAACTAATAACTGATTCTGTTTTGTTATTTTATTCGATTTAAATTTACACAATGTGAATTATATTACTCCAAATAAACAGATAATTTTTATGGGATATTGCAGCATAAAATTCGGTTACCTAATATCGATCGAATGAATAATAATTGCATCTTATAAAGATATCAAACACCAAAAAAAAAATGACTTGTCCATCGGCATTGCTTTCTAACTTCTTTCAAATTGTATCAGTTCGTTTCTATTGAGAAACGCTGCAATAGAGATGATCAGACTTAATCAACGCTTTATAAAACCATTAGTAATGTCAAAAATAATTTTTAATTCAATCTACATAATTACCAATATTTTATAAGTAGAAATAAAATGAACTAAGAGATCTAATTTATTGATAATTAGATGACTTTTGTTGGAGTCAGAGATAGCGCATTCATTATTACATTAGTTTTAGTCGCATGAAAACAAATCAAATTTTATTTCCAAGTTATTATTTTAGAGATTTCAGGTTAAAATAGAAAAAAAGATTGTTGCATGAGTATTTTTCAGGTACATAAATGAACCTATTCCTTTTCGTGTGGGTTTGATGTGTACATGTGCGTGCCGATGGGTACAACTGTATATCTTTCCTCACGTGGCACCCACATATCCATATCCAAAATTGTCATGAAACAGTTTTTTTATAGAGAGATAATAGTAGTTTTATTCTATTTCGGATTCTGACTCCATAGTGGTCTCTCTACTATGTTTTCTCTCGCTTTCAAATGAACTAGGCAGATGAAATGGATGCAATCGATCAACCAAATAATGTCCGGAAGACAATTTCACGAGTGACATTGCCATAAAATGAGGACTAACAGTTTGTCGATGAGCGAAAATACTAGTATCGCTTACACGCGCGTCGAATCCTTTTTCAACCATATAGGCGTTTTTCACTGTCTTGCATGTTCTTCGAAAATTACCATATTGGTTGGAAAAATACTTGTAGAGATTTCGACCAATGATATCACTTTCATTTACATTCGAAAATGACTTAGGATTGAGCTGCCAACGGGAATCGTTCATTGTTTCGGTCAAGTCATTGCAAACATTTTCGACAATATTCAGAATTTTGTTGTTCAATAACACACTTCTACTGTATGCTGCCCGACACTCTCGGCATGAATGCTCCATTGTCCAAGATTTTCTACATGTCAAACACGCTCGATTGACTGGGTCAAGAGCACCATCAATGTGCCAATTTTCGTAAATTGAAACAAAATAAAATAAATCACTGTCATGTTTCTTAGCACCATCGGCAATGCGATTTTGAACGATTTTTTTCTCCTCGTCAGTGAGGCCACCCACCAAAAATAGAGAACCGGGTGCTACTAAAATAGCCACAATCGTAACTACTAATTTGAGAATATCAGTATGTTCAAGGTAGGTATCAAGCAAAAATGCACAATAACGAGGATCACGACCTAATTTAGCAAAAAGCTTTCCTTTTTTGCTGATAATATCTTCATCATCAGTACAAGAAAGATCTTTCAAAAGCTCGAATGATGCTTCGATAACTACTTTTTCAGGTTGATCGATCAACGGAAATTCCCTTGGATTCAATTCCAAATACATGAGTTGGAGAACAGCACGATCAAGTGAACATCGAAGAATTTCGGGTTCGATGTCAGGACGAGTCAAATCATTTTCATAATAGAGACGAACACAATGTCCTTGTGCTGTTCGACCGGCTCTTCCTTTGCGTTGATCAGCAGATGAACGAGATATTTGCACAGTTTCAATCAATGTCAGACGATTTTCGAGATCGAAACGAGGTTGTTTAACCAGCCCAGAATCAATGACGAGACTAGTATTTGTTATTGTCAAAGATGTTTCAGCAATATTCGTACAGAAAACGACCATTCGACGAACATCATCTGAACCTTCATCGAATTGAAGTACGCGGTCTTGCTCTTCTAGCGAAAGAGCACTATACAACGGCAATGCAACGCAATTATCGGGTAATCTTTGATTAAACAGCTGTATAGTATCGTCGATCTTACGTTGTCCAGGAAGAAATACCAGTGTGTGCCCGTGACGATTATCATACATTTTTGTGCTGTAGAAACGGCATGTTGCAAGAGTGATCTATCCTTGCAGGGAATACACTTGACAGATACATCATAAATACGACCTGGAACTTTCAATGGGTGAGCATTTGTTTGTTGAAAAAATTCGAGAAACTTTCCTGGATCAATAGTAGCTGAAGCAATGACAACATAAAAATCTGTTGGTCGTGTAATTAGTAACAGTTTTGCAATTCCCAAAACAATATCAGTATTTAATGATCGTTCATGCGTTTCATCGATGATCAACACTCGAACATTGGTCAATTGATAATCGTCTTGACTCTCTTGAATAAAAATAGCGTCAGTCATAAAGAGAATATCTGTCCCAGGCACTCGATTTCTCTCCCTTCCAACACTGGATTGACCAACTCGATACCCAACTGATTTTCCCACCGATGTTCCATCATATTCATCGGCTACACGACGAGCAAGAGACATTGCTGTGATCACTCTTGGTTGAGTACAAACGACCAAACCACCAAAGTATTCAGCAGCATATTGAGGTAGTTGAGTACTTTTCACACTACCAGTTTCTGCTGTGACAACAAGTACTCGTTCTTTTTCCAACCGTTGACAAAACTCATCCTTTGCAGCGAGAATCGACAATTTTGCCTTTTCTCGTTCGACGTTACGTTGTTCGATGGATTTTAATATTGAGCTCGATTGTAATTGCTCTTGCCGTAAAGTTCGATTTAATGAATGACAGCTGTGTGGACACATTGAATTTTCACATTCACTGCCTTTTTCACACCGATCCCAATCATCAGGATGTAAAAATTGACAAAAGTAATTATCATAGGAACTTGCTTGTTTACAAGCAATCGAACGATCCTTGGGATGATCTAATTGACAATTGATATCCATACATTCTTGACTGTGTGGACATAATTGTCTATCAGATGGATGAACATTTTGACAGACTATGTTGTAACATTGCTTACCGAAAGGACAGTCTTTTGGACGATTTCCAGGATGCCACTTTTTACAATGCCAAAGTCGACATTCAACTCCATCTCGACATTTTTCTGATAATTTCACTGGAGGTAAAAACTCGCATCCGCGTCTCCTACAAGCAACACCATTTCTACAGCGTTTGCTTCGATCAAATGGATGATTTGCCTGACAATCAAAGTCTTTACACTTCGCACCACGCTCGCATGCCTTCCACTCAGACGGATGATTATATTGACAAAATGAATTGAAACACTTCAAGCCATTTCGACAAGCAGCTTTCTGAGAAGAACGTAGATTGTTAGGAGAACTTGATCTCGATCTAAGAGTGATATTGCGAACGGCAGGTGTTAGTGAGTTCATTGAATCTTCGTCATCGGTTGAGTTTGAACGATGATCTACTATGCATTTATCATTATCATTATCATTATCATTGCCATTTTGTTTATTGGATGACATCGAATCGAATAGAACTTACAAAGAAAATCTAAAAAACATAGTGTATCTTATTCATCACTGGTGAATCATCACTAATTGTACATTTTCTATACATCGCAAAAGAAAGACTCAAATGATGAGAATCTTGAACAAAAATTTCATATAGTACGAAAACTTTTCTTGTTTGTTATTTAGATATGTCGCACATATTGACAACGAAAGAAAGAAAAAAAGATCCAATTATTTATGCCTAGCATTGATACGTTTCTCTCATGTAATAGAAAGGAGAATTAATCAACCCTTAATTGTTGATCCCTAAGCATAGATAAAGCATTTCAACGTCATATAAACATACTTATTTGTTATAGCTAGAGGTGGGATCAATTTATCTCTCATTGTCTTGAGGGTGTGGTTGTGGATGTGTGGATGCTGATAAAGAAAAGACTAAAACCTACACCCGCACACACACATTCGGTTCCCTCTTTTAAATTTTTGTTTCGTTGAATAAAAACGTAAGTCTTGTCTCAACAAAAATCTCTCAAGTCACAAAAAAAGGAAAAGAAAACCAATGCACGAAGTAAATATATGTTTTTGCCGGTAACGATTGGTTATATTTATTCAGAATAAATTTAATGATGTATTTCTCTCTGTATCGGTCACCTAATTAGATTTGTCTCAGAGTAAAATGGTATTGATTTTTCTTATCTATCTTTCTATGCATCACCAATGAACTGTCTGAAATATTGCTGATTCTCGTCTCTCTCATATGCAACAAGCTATCACGTTCTAAACGTTTCTATCAATTATATTATCGATATCTATGTTGCTCCAGAGAAAATGAAGATGATAATTTCCAAATCAGTCATAGAGAAAGGCAATAGACACTCTCTCGTCGCAGATAACATTTATTAACAAAGAAGGTTATAAGTTGAGTATAGTGGCGAGGAAGATGGATGCTCAGCGACGTAAGACAGTGGTAAAAACAAACTTTAGAAGAAGATAGTTAGAAGGCTGATATAAATAAATTATACAATACCCAGCTTTATTTTGAATAGCAGCAGATTAGATAAAACAAGTCACATTTTTTTATAGCACTGTATGACGGTACATTTTAAGCAATACTTATCAATAAGAATCTTGTTCTTACGGGTGACACCTATATGTACTATTGATGGCAATGAATTTCCTCTTTTCTTTCTAATGCTTTTCACGTCTAGGTTACATTCGATTGGCTGGAAAAACAATCCTTTTGTCGGAATCTTTTCCGAGGCTGGAACAAAAACCAACCGACAGAGTAAACATCATGATTTTCTATGATAAAGCTGCGCAATGTTTACTTTACGATGAAGTCATCGATGAATTTTTTTCTCCATCGCTCGCTTTTGCTCGAGTTGACACTAGGAAGAAAATTGTTTCTTATGTAATTCACCTATTTGTGCATTAGTAATAGACTCAGAGACAAAAAATAAAAATCGCTTCACATTCTGAAACAAAACTATGCGACTATAGATCTTTTTTGTTTGTTGTTCTTGGCGAAGAAAGATTAATTGCATAGGTTGTAATAATGAAAAGTATGTTTCTGTGAATAAAGTAACCGAAAGAGAGTTATTGTAGAAGAAAAAGTAATGATGGTTGTGAACAAGCAGAGAAATGTCTTTGTTGAGTGTCTTGTATAACTATTCTTCCCTTGAAGGGTTTGGGTGGGTGTGGGTGTGAACGTGATCGTAAGTGTGGGCTGTAGCTGAGATATTCAAGTGAGAGAAGACTGACACCCACACCCACCCACATTCTAGGAAACATTTTATATATTTATATAGGAAGATCTTTATCATAATATTGCACTTAAAATTGATTTTTTTACTGATCGATATGCAATTACTAATAATAGTGCATAATGTTATGGTTTAATTCTTTTTATTATTAATCTAATCATTATTTCGAAGATCTTCAGACAAATCAATTATAAATAAAACGTGATAATGCAGATGTTCTATATATAAATCGTAGTGTTAACTAGTTCATAGTTTCATTTGTTAATCGTTATGTCTTATCATCAAAAATTGACCGTTCCCTCACTGATATTGAAATCGCAGAGAAATTTTCCGAATATGTTCGATCTGTAGTGAAGAGGCTAGGCTAAAATTTTTATCCTTATAGGATGATGTGTTTCGGTATATATTCAACTAACAAGGATCAAAAATAGCGAATTTGACAACCGAAAATTCTCTCTGGTCCTTTATTCTATAACACTTTTTTTTTCTTTTTTCTTAGTAAGAGCATGTTATCATGCAGAATATGATAGACTTTTTTTTCTAACTCTTTCAGGAGAGAACGAGAATAAAAACGTTCAATATCTGAGCAAAACTCTGAAAAGATCTCACTCTAATTCTAAAAGTATTCTTTTATATACTAGTAACAAAGGTTAATTCAGAAAATCGACTCTATCATGACCTGCATCTTGGTGTCATCTTGAAGAACAAAAGAAAAAAAGCCATTGATCACAAAGAAGCTTCTTCAAAAACTTTGAGATGCGCGATCAAACAAAAACAAAAATAAAGAGAGAAAAAGCCAAAGAGATTTTACTAGTTTATCTGGAAAAAAAAACATATTTTTCAAGAGGAAATGACGGAAATTTTTGAAAAAAAAAATGAGATACCAAATGAAAAATGATGTCACTAATGAAAGATCGGATCTCGGACTACCTTCCACTGTATTTATCTAAACTTTCGCGTTTTTGATGAAAATGAACTTTTTCTTTTTGAGGGAGAAGGTAAAGGCGAGTGACACACTACGGCATAGAGTTCCAGTTTGTTTATATCTCGATATTTTTTTTTATTTAGCTTCAATTTAAATAATGGTTGGAACTAGTTAGGAGTTTTTTCGTGGTCGGCATGGTGGATATGATCCATTAGGATTTGGATCCAGTGGAGATTTTACTGGCCCATATGAAATATAACTCGGCAAATCCATCGAGGTGTGGGTGATTATCGACTAGGACATCCTATGGATAGTGGGTGGGGCGTTTTCATATGATGAGTGTATGGTCGATGATGATAATTCCAATTATTCTTTTATATTGAATAATTGGAATTATTCAATATATTGAGTAAATAAATTTCGAATAGTTCTATATGACTTTAAAGAAATTCAAATGATTGCGGGTGAATAAAAAAAATCTATGAAATAGATAATATCGGGATTTATCTTTGAAATAAAAGAGGAAATATATAATTTATTTATTTTATCTTTGTTCGCATTCGAATAACTTATTCTTGTTGTAAACGTTGAAAATCTTGACTATTTGGATAATTAAATATGCCCCTTTTCAATAAAACCTTCTTCATTCGATAGACGTTTGATGAGCACGTTATTTTGGTGATTGTACTAATCTTTTTCTGTATATCATTATGTACAATATCATAACGTTGTTTTTTATATTCTTTGAAAAGACGTTCTTCGTCATCAGGTAAATGTCGAGATTTTTCTAAAAGCTTAGTAGCGATTTTTCTAATACGATTTGTTTCTTTATGTTCTTGAAATTGATTATAACATCGTTTAAAAATATTTGTCCATGAGTAAAAATAAATAAATAATTGATAAGAAGAATTTAATCAATTAATATAAAATGATATATATAGCCGGTTTACGTTTATCCTCTAATAATTGATAATAACCATTTTTATAAGAACGGTAATATAGGTTATTTTCCTTGATTATACCGTAAAAGACGAAAACTTGTCTCACTAAAGAAGTCGAAAACATAATATAATCTCTAAATAGATTTTTAATTAATCATACTGTATTTGAGGAGTGTTGTTGACCAGTTGTTGCCTCGTTTATAATAGATTATAATCAATATCATCTTCATCATATAACCNAAGAGCCGGTCGAACAGCACAAGGGCATTGCGTTCGTCTCTACTATGAAAATGATTTAACTCATACTGTGTGCAGCCCGACATTCTCGGCATGAATATTCCATTTTCCAAGATTTTCTACATGTCAAACAGGTGCGCGTGACTGGATCAAGAGCACCTGCAATGTGCCAGTTTTTGTAAATTGAAACAAAATGAAACAAATCACTGTCATGTTTCTTAGCACCATCGGCAATGCGGTTTTGAACGATTTGTTTCTCCTCGTCAGTGAGACCACCCACCAAAAATAGGGAACCGGGTGCTGCTAAAATGGCCACAATTGTAACTGCCAATTTGAGAATATCAGCATGTTCGAGATAGGTATCAAGCAAGAATGCACTATAACGAGGATGGAGACCAAGTTTGGCAAAAAGTTTTCCTCGCTTGGTGATTATGTGTTCATCATCAATACAAGAAAGATCTTTCAAAAGCTCTAATGATGCTTCGATAATTGTTTGTCCAGGTTGATCGATCAACGGAAATTGCTGTGGATTCAATTCCAAATAAACAAGTTGAAGGACAGCACGATCAAGTGAGGTTCGAAGAATTTCGGGTTCGATATCAGGACGAGTTAAATCATTTTCATAGTAGAGACGAACGCAATGCCCTTGTGCTGTTCGACCGGCTCTTCCTTTGCGCTGATCAGCAGATGAACGAGAGATTTGCACTGTTTCAATCACTGTCAGGCGATTTTCATGATCGAAACGAGGTTGTTTGACCAGTCCAGAATCAATGACGAGGCAAATATTTTTTATCGTCAAAGATGTTTCAGCAATATTCGTACAGAAAACGACCATTCGGTGAACTCCATCGGGATCCTCATTGAATTGAAGTATTCGATCTTGCTGTTCTAGCGAAAGAGCACTATAGAACGGCAATGCAACGCAATTATCGGGTGTTCTTTGATTAAAAAGCTGTATAGCATTATCGATCTCACGTTGTCCAGGAAGAAATACCAATGTGTGTCCTTGATGGTTATTATACAATTTCTGTGTTGTAGAAACGGCATGTTGCAGGAGTGGCCCATCCGTGCAGGGAATATATTCGACAGACACATCATAAATGCGACCTGGAACTTTCAATGGATGGGCATTTGTTTGTTGAAAAAACTCGAGAAACTTTGCCGGATCAACAGTAGCTGAAGCAATGACAACATAGAAATCAGTTGGTCGTGTAATTAGTAACAGTTTTGCAATTCCCAAAACAATGTCGGTATTTAAAGCTCGTTCATGCGCTTCATCAATGATCAACACTCGAACATTGCTCAACTGATAATCGTCTTGACTTTCTTGAATAAAAATAGCGTCAGTCATAAAGAGAATATCTGTTCCAGGAACTCGATTTCTTTCTCTTCCAACACTGGATTGACCAACTCGATACCCAACTGATCTTCCCACCGAGGTCCCATCATATTCGTCAGCTACACGACGCGCAAGAGACATTGTTGTGATCACCCTTGGTTGAGTACAAACGACCAAACCACCAAAGTATTCAGCAGCATATTGAGGTAGTTGAGTACTTTTCCCACTACCAGTTTCTGCTGTGACAACAAGTACTCGTTCTTTTTCCAACCGTCGGCAAAACTCATCTTTTGCAGCAAGAATAGGTAATTTTGCTTTTTCTCGTTCGATATTACGCTGTTTGACGGACTTTAATATTGAGCACGCTTGTGATTGTTGTTCGACACCACCTTGTATTTGCTGTTGACGTAAAATTCGATTCAAAGAATGACAAGTGTGTGGACATATTGTATTTTCACATTCGCTGCCTTTTTCACACGGGTCCCAATCATCAGGATGCAAGAATTGACAAAAATAATTATCACAGGAACTTGCTTGTGTGCAAGCAATCGCACGGCCCTTAGGATGATCTAATTGACAATTGATTTCTGTACATTCTACACTGTGTGGACACAAGTGTCTATCAGATGGATGAACACTTTGACAGTCTGTGTTGTAGCATTGCTTACCGAAAGGACAATCTTTTGGACGGCCTCCAGGATGCCATTTTCCACAATTCCAAAGTCGACATTCAACTCCGTCTCGACATTTATCTGACAATTTTACAGGATGTAAAAACTCGCATCCGCGTCTCCTACAAGCACCACCGTTTCTACAGCATTTTTTTCGATCAAACGGATGATTTGCCTGACAATCAAAGTCATTGCATTTCGCTCCACGTTCACATGTCTTCCATCCAGACGGGTGATCACATTTGCAAAATGAATTGAAGCACTTTAACCCATTTCGGCAAGAAGCTTTCTGAGAAGAACGTAAATTGTCAGGAGAACTTGATGTCGATCTAAGACGTATATTGTCAACATCAGGTGTTAGTGAGTTTACACAATCGTCTCTATGGGTTGAGTTTGCACGATGATCTATTGTTCGTGCATCATTATCACCATCATTGCCATTTTGTTTATTGGATGACATTGAATCGAATAGAACTTCAAAAGAAAATCAAGAAGACATATTGTGACTTATTCATAAGTAATTGTACATTTTCTGTTCATCGAATGAAGAAGAATTCGAATGATGAGAATCTACGAAAAATTTCACATGAAACGTAAAAATTTTCTTGTTTCCTATTAGAATATGTCGTAAATATTGACAATGAAACGAACAAAATGGATCTGATCAATTATGTCTATCATTGATACTTTTCTCACATTTAATAAAAAGGATAAAATTAACTTTTCACTGACTCTTTCTGTATGAAAATAGATGTCGACAGATTCGAATAATATCCTTGAAATACGATCAGTAACGGTACAATCTAAACGTCATCCCACCTGTCAATTAAGTAACATTTAAGAAAAATCTCCGTAAAAATCTTCTAAAAGAACTTTGTTGCCGTAATGATTTTCTCTGATTGATGTCTTTATTTTTGATTGATTCAAATAAATGTCAACGCTACTGACAAATAGTGCAGAAAATGTTCATATGCACGAATCAATAATTTGTTTCTGATCAAGATTTCTCTTTGTGAAAAGAAAAGAAAAAAACTTAAAGGTAATGATTCTTTTTCAGTATGTCTTTTGATTTCTATGATTGGTTTTCATTACCTCAACGATGTTCGTATTTCCCTTAGAAAAAGCGATAAGTGGGAAAAAAATAAAAGAGAAAAAATGTAACAAGAAATACAAAAACAAAGAATTGTCAATACTGATTAGCTACCTCAACAACAACAAAAATCAATTGGAAAAATGAAAGCTCTTTGTTTTGATGATTGACTTTCTATATGATTCTTTTTCATTTCTCCAATAAAAACAAAACCCATAAAAATGCAAATATACAACTATACTGGATAAACACTCAACTGAGAAAAAATGTTATACCAACAGAAACACAAACACTCCTCTGTCATGAATATTTGTCTCCTACATCTAGTTGACAGTTTCACAGTGAAGATGAAAATAAATAAATTTATTCATAGAACAAATTAAATCAATTTTCTATTACAGAGTAGTTTTTATTCATTAAACTACTGCTGCACGAAAAATAGGGAAGATAAGCTGAATTTCGAATCAATGGCGTACCCGACCTCAAACCCAGACTGTGGATAAGGGAGGGTATCCAATTTTCCGTCATTTTTCCTATGAAATATTTTCAACAATCCCTTATTCAGCTGTCAAAAACTCATCTCCTAGCAGCAATCCCAGAAGCACCGTGAGAGTGACCTGTCCCCATATTTTATGCCCCCGTTTCAAATAAAAAAAACAAGAAAGCTTCTTTATTAACAAGACCTATTCATCGATTAGAATATGTTAGATTTTTTTGTTGATCGATTTTTACTTTTGTCGACGCCAAAAAAAGCACAAGGCACGAAAGAACGCAAAGAATTCTCCTCAAAAATAGACAAGAAAAAAAGACAGTCAACAAAAGACCTAACAAAACAACACCAACATCAACACTGAGAGAGAAGAAAAATCGACGAAGAAGGGTGTGGGGTGTGGGTGTGGATATAATATTCATTCGACACCCACGCTCACACCCTCGTTTTTTTAATAAAATGCACACTCACTCTGAAGATAACAAAATGATGAAAGAGAAAATTAAACTAGAGCAACCTTTTCGGGTCTTCCCAGAAAGTGACACATAATACTCAGGATATCTAAATGAAGC